AAACCCCGATTCAACCCCAAATTCACCTACAAAACACACATGAAAACAAAAGTTTTACTAGACGACAAAATTTTTTGGAGTGAAGTACAGCCTTCTGGCTGCGTACTAAACGTCCAGACATGGGACCTAGCCCCCCCGCCAGGGAGTGTAAAACCAATGACACACCAACAAGTGTCTAAAAATTGTTACACCGAAGAGTTGTCGAGAAACATACCGATGGTCGAATCCAGATACTACCACAAGAGTTGTAACATCACCAATTTCCCCCATCAACAATATTCGGTCGCCTCGTATCATCGTGATGAAGGGCTGATACAAGCCTTGCTCTTGCGTCGTTGCTATGGTATAAACCTATCTCGAGGGGTGAGGAGAGTTTCATGTCTCGTTGGTGTTCCTCCCTTACTAGACATAGACTAACGAGAGAATGAGATAGATGCGTACTCCCCCTTACTATACATGGATTAGCGAGAGGATGAGATAGATGGGTGTTCCCCCTTACTATGCATAGACTAGTGAGAGGATGAGATAAATGAGTAAAATATGTATATAAAAGTAAATTGACACAAGAATATACAAAAAATACAGAAAAAGGAAAAAATACAGTAAGAAGATAAGAATAAAGCATATTTGAAATACATGTGACCGGTCAGTTCAATAATGATATCTAAAGGGCATCCCCCTCCCCTCCTCCCGAAAAAAAAAAAAAAAAAAAACACCAGTACGTCATCCACGGATTAATGTAGGATTCAACTGCAGTCAATCCAGTTCGTAAGGCATGTCCAGGAGGTCTTCGGTTCAATGCCCATTGACCTTATGTACTTTACTGGGCAAGCTTGACGCCTGCTGCCTAGAGATAGCTCGTTGCTCCCCCCCAGCCGCATTGAGCAGTAACTGCTAACCAATCCAATGCATTTGAACTCTATGTGATCGTGAGAGTGAGGTCGCGGGCGCAAGGGGGGGGGGGGATCAAGGACTGGAAGGGTCAATGTTCACAAAACGTCGACGACAAGAGGTAGTAGGCGATATCCTGCTCAACATCCTTTTAACTTATAGACCCAAATATTTTTCGCCTTTATAAGTAACACGTCTCAATCAAAATAATAAATATATAGTTACACCCAATAAATGGTTAAAAGTAATGAGGTAAGTTGGTGCCTACACGTATTGTTAAAATCAATATATTTCAGCACAAAGTGTATAAACCTATTGATCCGTCCAATATAACTCTCTCTCAATATGAGGAAAGGGGTAGAGAGAAAGGAGGGTGGAGGAAGAGAAAGTGATACATAGGTCGGTAGGTGCCTACATTTATTTACAAAATCAATGTGTCTAAGCACAAAGCGTAGACACCTACTGACCAGTCCAATATTGGTCGACTCAACATGAGAAAAGGGGCAGAAAGAGGGTAGGGAGGCTGGGAGAGGGAATGTTGTACATAGGGATATGGCCAGTACATAGCAATATGATTTTGATATAAAACTTTTTTTTTTTTTTTTTAAACTCACAAGTGTACAACACGATGAAAGTTGAGACTAGTTGAAATCATGTTAAAATTGGTTGAAACCTGTTGAAACCATTTGGAATGTGTTGATAAACATTTAAAAATTTCCTCCAATCATTACAATCTCATTATAAGTTGTTTATAACCACATGAAATCATGCTCTCCGTTTATCGACGATTATGGCAAATTAAAAACCCGTCCATCTTGCCGACTTTTTTTTTCTGTTGAGATGGGTGCAAGGAGGGGAAATAGCAGCAGGACAGAGAGGAGGAGAGCAAAAGGGCAGACTAAAGAAGATGCACAAAAAGGGGAGTGGGAAAAGCAGGGAAAGGGGGTGAGAACAGAGGGGAGAAGGAAGCAGAAAACTTACCACCTGGCACGCTCCGTCACACTCTGGAAATGACACTTGGAATGTTCAGAGAGGGAGAAGGAAGCATGAAACTTACCACCTGGCACGCTCCGTCACACTCTCGAAATGACACCTGGAATGTTCAATCCGGATCTGGTCATGGCTCCCTCTCTCTCTCATTCACTTGTGATCGCCTTGTTCTTCCCTCTCTCGCTCTCTCTCTCAAACGATCGATCAATCGATCGAGCGTGCGCTGGCAAACTCTCTCTCTCTCTCTCTCTCTCTCTCTCTCTCTCTCTCTCTCTCTCTCTCTCTCAGTCACTTGTGATCGCCTTGTTCCTCCCTCTCTCGCTCTCTCTCTCTCTCGAATGATCGATCAATCGATCGAGTGTGCACTGACAATCTCTCTCTCTCTCTCTCTCTCTCTCTCTCTCTCTCTCTCTCTCTCTCTCTCTCTCTCTCTCTCTCTCTCTCTCTC